GAGGCTGAAACGCTGGCGAAAGGATTTCCCACAATCACCGCACTCCCACGGCGTCTCTCCGGGGTGAGCCCTCCGACGTTTAACCAGGCTGGAGCTGGAGCGAAAGCTTTTCCCACAGTCCCCGCACTCGTAAGGCCCGGCTCTGGCGTGCACCCTCCGGTGCTTGACCAGGCTCGAGTTCTCACCGAAGAGTCGGCCACGGTCCTGGCACTGAAAAGGCTTTTCTCCAGTGCGAACTTAGCGGTGCTGCATGAGGCTACAGCTTTGGCTAAAAAACTTCCCACGGTCCCTGCACTCATACGGCCTTTCTCCAGTGTGAACCTGCCAGTGAGTGTGAGGCTGGCCTTGTGGCTACAGAATTTCCCACACTCAGTGCACCCATAAGGCCTTTCTCCAGTGTGAACCCTCTGGTGTTTCATGAGGCCCGAGCTGAAGCTAAAGGATTTCCCGCATTCGCTGCACTCGAAAGGCCTCACCCCAGTGTGGACCCTGTGGTGCGGGATGAGGGTGGAGTGATGCCGGAAGGCTTTCCCACACGCACTGCACGTGAAGGGCTTCTCTCCGGTGTGAACTCTCCGGTGTTGAACCAGGTCGGCCTTGCGGCTGAAGGATTTTCCACATTCGCTACAGCCGTCAGGCCTTTCACCCATGTGAACTATTTGGTGCACGAAAAGGTTGGGCTTATGGCTAAATGACCGCCCACACTCGCTGCACTGGTACGGCTTTTCTCCGGCGTGCAGCCTCCGGTGCTCCTCCAGCAAGTATTTCTGACCACAGGCTTTCCCACACTCGCTGCACTTGTACTGCCTTCTTTGGGGGTGATGTTGGGCGGCCCCGCGTGGCGCCCCTGTACTGTGAGTCTCCTGCTGCCTGAGACCAGTGCCGGCTGGAAAGTCCTGGCCCTGCGCCCCCTCTTCTCCTCCTAAGGGCTTCTCTCCACAGCGCAGCTTCCGGTGTTGGCGACGGTTCGCTCTGGGCACTCCTCCTGCAGGAACATTCTCCTCAGCCTCTGCTCCGCGCCCACAGCCTGAAAGCAGAGACGTGATGACGCAGAGATGGGGGGCTGGGGGGGGGGCAGAGACGTGCTGAGGAAGAGACGTGGGCCTCGGGGGGAGGGGAAGCACCTCACAAACCTGCACCCGACACACCCAGCCCAGCCGAGTCCCGGGGCTGTGGGAGGATGAGGCGGGAGACCGTGTGGAAAGGGCCTGACCAGCTCCCAGGCCCATGGGGCCTCAGGAGCAGCCAGGACACAAGGATCGGCTCCTGAAGAGCCAGAAGCTGCTGGTCACCCAGGAACACAGCCCAGAAGGGTGTTCAGACCCAGAAAAAATGGAACCCACTGCCGGGCTGGCGTGGTCAGTGGTTGAGCACCGACCCATGAACCAGGAGGTCACGGTTCGATCCCTGGTCAGGGCACACCCCCGGGTTGTGGGCTCCCTCCCCAGTGGGCAACTGGGAAAGCGAGGATGGAAAGCAGGCCTGGCCCCTTGTCTTGGCACCAAACCGCCAGGCCCTCTGTGAGCCCCCCTGAGCCACGCCTCTCCCTCCGTACCCGCTGGTCCGGCCACAGTCCTGAGGCCACCGGCAGGCAGAAGGGGCTCCCCATGCTGCACCAGCTGGGGGAGCTCATGGGTCCCACCAGATGCAAGGCCTACGGGAGAGACAAGACGGGGGGTGAGAGCAGCCCACCCCACGGCCGACGACCCCTCAGGCTGTGACGGTGTTGGTGCCTGAATTCCAGCCACAGGCAGATCCCATGTCAGACACAGGAAGAGGCCAGAGCCTGGGGACAGAACCGCATGGACTGTCACCGTGTCACCAGACCAGGGAGAGGCCAAGGGTGCGAGCCACCAGGCTGACTCTGGGAGGCCTCGTCCCCAAACCCTTGCCCACAAGGCTCTGGGCAGCTCGGGGAAGCGGGGTGGCAGTGCACACGAGGCGGGCGCGGGCACGGGCCGGGCGCTCGCACAACACCCTCGGGCGGGGAAGGCGGGGGAAGCTCACCCAGGGAGGCCATCAGCACCCCGTTCTCCAGCAGCACCTCGCGGTACAGACGCCGCCGAGCCTCATCCAGGAGCCGCCACTCCTCCCGGGAGAAGCGGACGGCCACGTCCTCGAGGGTCACACGGCCCTGCCAGGGTGGGGAGAGAGGGGAGGGCACAGGGGGAGAGGAAAAAAGCATCCATGTGAGGGAATTAAGTGCGGGGGACCCTTCGGCATGCATGCCAGAGCTCTGACCACTGAGCCACCGGCCAGGGCCACCATCAAATCTGGGTCCATCGGCCCCAGTACCAGGGCCTGAGGCCATCGGTTTACAGTCCCTCCCAACGTGCGCATCACTCCTTCCCGCACCGCCCTTCACGCCCCCAACACACACCACATGCATCTCCCAGCTTCACCACACGCCCGTGTACACATGGCATCCGCAGGGCTGGACACGTGTGATCCGAATCCCATCCTGCCCTGGCCGGTGTGGCTCAGTGGATAGAGCGTCGGCCTGCAGACTGAAGGGTCCCGGGTTCGATTCCGGTCAAGGGCATGTGCCTTGGTTGCGGGCACAGCCCCAGTAGGGAGTGTGCAGGAGGCGGCTGACCGATGTTTCTCTCTCATCGATGTTTCTAACTCTCTATCCCTCTCCCTTCCTCTCTGTAAAAAATCAATAAAATATATATATTTTTTAAAAAAGCTTGTTAAGTCTGGGTCCCATCACACCGCCCCCGCCCCCTAACTGTCCCCTGGCTCCCACCACCATTGGCGGAGGCCCAGCTTCCGGCCGGGTCCCAGGTCCAATCGCTGCTTCCCACTGCCTCCACCTGGCCCAGTGCCAACCACGGCCTCCTGGGCACCCCCAGCTCAGCCTCGCCGCCGCCGCCGCACCTCCTGACGCTGCGGGTAGAACACACGGTGCCACCGCCTGCCAGACGTGGGGCCCAATCCAGACGCTCCCTGGTCAGGACTCAAAGCCCTGGCCCTGGGCGGCACCTGCCAGAGATCTCCAGTGGAAGGACGGACGGAAGGACGGACGGACGGACGAGGAGCAGGACACCCTAGAGCCAGTACCAGGGACCCCCTCCCTGACCTCTGCCTGGTCTGCAAGCACCTCTGCAGGCAACAGTGTCGGCCCGGGGGCGCATCCACGCCCCCCCCCCCACTCGGGGCCTCTCAGCGGCTGCGTGACCCTCCAGTGCCTCAGTGTTGTCACCTGTAAAATGGGAACAAAGACGGCGCCCGCCGGGGGGCCGCTGCCTGGGTCACACTCGTGCCTGTGCGTCAGGCCCTTCCCGTCCCCACAGTCACCGCCGGTCACAGCGCATCTGATGCGGCACCAAAGCCCGTCCAGTTGTTTTTATTTTTTAATTGATTTGTTTTTTTGAGAGAGAGAGAGAGAGATTGAAGAGCAAGAACCACGCCTCCTCCACGCCCCCTACTGGGAACTGAGCCCACGACCCCGGATCCAAACCCACCCGCGACCTCGGGGCACCTGGGGCGGCTCTCAGCCACCTGAGCAACAGCAGCCCGGCAAGCCTGACTTTTTTTTGTTTTTCCGCCTCTTTTTTTTTTTTTTAATATATTTTTATTGATTTCAGAGAGGCAAGGAGAGAGAGAGATAGAAACATCAATGATGAGAGAGAATCACTGATCAGCTGCCTCCTGCACGCCCCCTACTGGGGACTGAGCCCGCAACCCAGGCATATGGCCTTGACTGGAATCGAACCTGGGACCCTTCAGTCCGCAGGCCAACACTCTATCCACTGAGCCAAACCAGTCAGGGCCAGAGCCTGTTCTTACTGATGGACCTGGATTTCCATTTCCCTGCATAGTTGGAGCCCCAGTCCTTCCTTTTGTCGTATCGCAAATCAGGGAGCTGGACAAGACGCCTTCATCAGCCAATTAGTTAGGAGTCACCTTGATTTCGCACAGGTTCAGAGCAGATTACCGCTGTCAGATTCTGAACCAACACACAGCAGGGAGTATTTCCTTTTTATATCCTTCTACTTCTTTGTGTAAGTTATTTTTGTAGACAGCGTGTAACCTTGAGTACATATCTAACAAACACCTTTCATATCTATACAGACACCTGTAATTGTGGATACAAACACTTGGCATGAGAATATGGGGATTATTATCAGTATCAGCATATCAGTCCCTTCAGAATCAGTGGTTCTCAACCTGTGGGTCGCGACCCTTTGGCGGTTGAATGACACTTTCACAGGGGTCGCCTAAGACCATCCTGCATATCAGATATTTACATGACGATTCATAACAGCAGCAACATGACAGTTATGAAGTAGCAACGAAAATAATTTTATGGTTGGGGGTCACCACAACATGAGCAACTGTATTAAAGGGTCACAACATGAGGAACTGTATCTGAGACGGCTAGCTTGCAAGGTCAGACAAGTTTATCTCTCCTATTATTCAAGCTAAAAAGCAAAGTTATTTTACAGTCCAGAAATAACAGAGAGCCCTAACCGGATTGGCTCAGTGGATGGAGCGTTGGCCTGAGGACTGAAGGGTCCCAGGTTGGATTCCCGTCAAGGCCACATGCCTGAGTTGCAGGCTCAGTCCCCAGTTGGGGGAGTGCAAGAGGCAGCCAATCGATGATTCTCTCTCATCATTGATGTTTCTATCTCTCTCTCCTTCTCCCTTCCTCTCTGAAATCAATAAAAATATTTTAAATAATAAATAAATAAAAATAACAGAGAATTTCAAAACAGCAGAAAATTCTAAAACAACAGTTTCAAACACAAGTTTTCCCTAAGGAGGGATCATTACCATGCTTCACTTTCCTTTTCCTTTTTAAAATATATTGTCACTGACTTCAGAGAAGAAAGGAGGGGGAAGACCCGCCTAGTCCTCCCTTTCCAGGCGCCACTAACGCTGTGATTCTACCTTTGCCCAGGAGGTGGCGCCCGACGCACGTCTCCACGGTTGGTGCTTGTGGAAACTACATTACCCAGAAGCCTCAGCGGTGCAGGGCCAATGAAGACCCAGGAAAGGGTCGTCTCCATGCGTGGGGAAGGCTTCGGGGCGGGACTTCCGGTTCCTTCTTGGGCGGACATTTTTCTTTTGGAAGGAACCCACCTCCTCCAGTCTGCCGGTCGCCGGGTCAGACCTGCAGTGACGGGCGCGGGGGCGGTTCTTACCCGAACGGACCCGGCTCCTCGCCCTCGTCTCCCGCCGATTGGCCCCTCGCCTCCCCCGCCCTCAGGTGCCGAAGGCGGAGGCCGCCCTGGTGGAGCCCGCGCAGGTGGGTCCTGCGCCCCGGCTCCTCCCCGACCTCCGTCCCTGCATCCTCAGGCCTTGATGAGGGCTGCCCAGGCCGGCCCGTGGGGGCGCTCGTGGGGGCCCCCGTTTCTGACCGGAAGTTTGAGGGGACGTGGCGTGAAAGGCGAGGAGGGCCCGCGGGTGCAGGGGCCTCGGGAGCCTGGGCGGGGTGTCCGCGGGGTCGCAGTGTGAGGAGGGGTGACGTCTGCAGTGTCAGCTCCGCTGTCATCTGAGGGGATGGGAGCCGTGGGAGGTTCCCAGCGGAGGGCACGATTTGAGGTGGTTTTTTTAAGGTATATTCCTAGGGACCCAGTGCACAAATTCGTGCACCTTGGAAGGAACTGTGGGCCATCCTCTGTCCCCCCCCTCCCGCCACGCCCCCGTCCCCTTCTGCTGGCAGCCCCGCTCCTCCCAGGCGTTGACCCCTCGCGCTCACAGTGTGGAGCGATTGGGGCTGGCGGCAGCAGCAGGTGCGAGAGGCGGCTGCTGCCCAATTGCCCCTCAAGAGCAGGGGGAGGTGCCCAAGCCCTCAGGGGCGATCCAGGTGCGGTCAGCGGGGCCAACAGGGGCAGCAGGTGTGAGCACACGGGAGCAAAGCATTTTCAGTCACCACCAGAGGCTCGCTCAGATGACAGGGACCTGCTCCACCATCCCACCACAGCAGACGCCCGCCATGTTCTGCGCATGCCCCCTGGTGGTCAGCGCACGTCATGGCAACTGGTTGTTTGGTTCCCCTATTTGCATATTAGGGATATATATATATATACTAGACATATTTTTGATATTTATTTTATACTAAAGGCCCGGTGCACAAAAATTTGTGCACTCAGGGAGGCGGGGGGTGTCTCTCAGCCCGGCCTGTGCCCTCTCGCAGTCTGGGACCCCTCGGGGGATGACCACCTGCTGGCTTAAGCCTGCTCCCCGGAGGATTGGGCCTAAGCTGGCAGTCAGACATCCCTCTGGCAGCCTGGGAGCCCTCGGGGGATGTCCA